ATGCATCCTTTCAGAAATACTTGCTGAGCTACTGCCAGGTACTGTGTTAGACTCAGGGGAGTTTGTATACTGGAGAGCAAAATAGATATGAGCTCTGAGGTCAAAAGAGCTTACAGACTAGTCAGAAAGACTAGGCACAAGGAGAAAGGGAAGAAAGCAGAGGGAGGGAGGAAATCGGGAGAGAAAGGAAAGGGGAGGAGGAAGGAAGGGAAGTAAGCCAGAGGAACTAATTATACATAGGCTTAAGTTCTATGAAGAAAACAAACAGGAATCTGAGATCAGGGTAACAGAGTGGACCTACTTAGGGTAGAGAGGTCAGACAAGTCTCTAAAATGGTTTAAGCTCAGGCCTAAACATTAAAAAGAAGCCAGCCACGCAGAGAGCATTTGGGAGAGAAAGAACAACACATGGAAAGGACCAGAGTCAGAAAAAAGTGTTGTGTGGCTGGAGCCTGGAAAGTAAGGTGGGAGTGGCAGGTGGTCAGAGAGAAGCCAGCTGCCAGGTCTGGAGAGCCCTGGAGGCCAAGTGAGGCAGGTATCCGTCCGCTTTCATTCTGAGAAAAAGCAAGGGTGATACTATCTCATTTATCTTTCGTTTATTTATTTATTTATTTTTAGAGACAAGGACTCACTCTCACCCAGGCTGGGGTCCTCTGGTGCAGTCACAGCTCACTATAGCCTCCAACTCCTGGTCTCAAGTGATCCCTCGCCTTAGCCTTCCAAAGTACTGGGATTACAGGCATGAGCCACTATGCCCAGCCACATTTATCTTTTAAGAAGTATAATATTTGGCTAGGCACAGTGGCTTCTGCCTGTAATCCCATCACTTTGGGAGGCCATGGTGGGTGGATCACTTGAGGTCGGGAGTTCAAGACCAGCCTGCCCAATATGGTGAAACCCCGTCTCTACTAAAAATACGAAAATTAGCCAGATGTGGTGGCATGTGTCTGTAATCCCAGCTACTCTGGAGGCTGGAGCAGGAGAATCACTTGAACCCAGGAGGTGGAGGCTGCAGTGAACCGAGATCACGCCATTGCACTCCAGCCTGGGTGACAGAGTGAGACTCCATCTCAAAAAAAAAAAAAAAAATTCCATCTGCATCATGTCTGAAACAAAGTGAACACCTGAGACTACCATGGGACCAAAAACACCACCAATACTGTGGAAGCTACCTGACTTACAATTTTGAAGTCCTTTTGACAGCTATGGGGAGAATTGATCCTAGGGGTGCAGGAATGGGAAACAGACTAGTAACCAAGGCAAGCAATTGAGGCAAGGGCTGATAGTGACCTGGAGTAAAGTGGTAGCAGTAGGGATGAAGGAAAAGGGGATAATGTTGAGATGGTCTGTGGGGTGGAAACAAGGCAAAAGGAGTGTGAGGCAGTAGGAGAAAATGAAAGAACCAAGGATGGCCTCTCATTTTTAGATCTGAGCAAATGGTAGGTGGCAGTGATATAAACCAAGCTGGGGACCACTGGATGTGAGTGGAGGGGCTAGGAAGAAGGGCCAGGGGATGGGATAGAGCTCCCACGTGAAGCCTACTTTCCCTCCGGCAGTGGGAGGAGCAGCACCGAGGTCGGAGCTGTGAGGACTTCCAGAACTGGAAACGCATGAATGACCCAGAATACCAGGCCCAGGGCCTAGCAATGTATCTTCAGGAAAACGGCATTGGTAAGGCTGCCCCACTTGGCCTGTTTGCTCAGAAGCCTGTCATTGCCAGCAGCTCTCTTCTTGAGGGCCTTGAGTTGCAGTGGCAGCTCCAGCCCTGACCTCTTGTCCTTTGCAGACTGCCCCAAATGCAAGTTCTCGTATGCCCTGGCCCGAGGAGGCTGCATGCACTTTCACTGTACCCAGTGCCGCCACCAGTTCTGCAGCGGCTGCTACAATGCCTTTTATGCCAAGAATGTGAGCCCAGAGAGTTGGCGAAGGGATGGAAGGGTGGGGGCCTCCATTGGGTTTGAGAGGCAGAGGCCATTGAGGAGTGGCCCCGGGGAAGAGAAGAGGTCAATGGGATGTAAAGCACAACTCTCTATCCCCTTACCCTTTGCTTGCTCCTCCAATGTCTCCATCTCCCCTCACCCATACACCCCTCACGCAGGGGTTCCTGAGAGGCCAGGACCCCAACAGTCTCCAACTTCCTCTCTCCCATCTGGGTTTCTGCCAGAAATGTCCAGACCCTAACTGCAGGGTGAAAAAGTCTCTGCACGGCCACCACCCTCGAGACTGTCTCTTCTACCTACGGGACTGGACTGCTCTCCGGCTTCAGAAGCTGCTACAGGTCAGAGGTGGTCAGGAGAGAAGAAGACTGGGCCCAGGGTGGGCAAGAATGGAAAAGACTTCATGCTAGGAAATGCAACAGGGACTGGCATCAAGGGGAATGTAACACCCATCTGTCTCTCCTCCTCAGGACAATAATGTCATGTTTAATACAGAGCCTCCAGCTGGGGCCCGGGCAGTCCCTGGAGGTGAGTGTTAGGACAAGCCTTTGAGAAGAAGAGATGGTGTGCTGGGTTCCCACTGTATGATGGGTAAAGGGGAGGCTTGGGTCTGGGGCCACTTGTTGCACGCCCTTTGGCAAGTTAATTGAGACTCCAGGCCTTGTTTCTTCCGCTGTAAAATAGGGGTAGTATCTACCTTGCAGCTAAGCCACTTTACGTAAGACATCTTTAAAGAACCTGGTACCCAAGAAGGCATTAATACTAATTTTCTTCTCCCATTCCCAAATGATCATAATTCATTAATTAACTCAATGAGTGTTTAATGAGACCTGCTAGTTGCAGGGCACTGTTTTAGATTCCATGAGGGTAACAGAAAGGTGTTACGTGTGGTTCTAACCTCTTTCACTTCCTACAGTGTAGACAGAGGTAAGTCTACAGTCCATACCACCCTGAATGTGACTAATCTTTTCTGATCTTGGAGGCTAAGCAGGTTCGGGCCTAGTTAGTACTTGCATGAGAGATTGGCTGGGAATACCAGGTGCTGTAGGCTTTAAATTTAAAAAAAAAAAAATAGAGGTGGCCTGCCAGGTGCGGTGGCTCATGCCTGTGATCCCAACACTTTGGGAAGCCAAGGCGGGCGGATCATGAAGTCAGGAGATGGAGACCATCCTGGCTAACACAGTGAAACCCCGTCTCTACTAAAAAATAGAAAAAATTAGCCGGGCGTGGTGGCAGGTGCCTGTAGTCCCAGCTGCTCAGGAGGCTGAGGCAGGAGAATGGCATGAACCTGGGAGGCGGAGCTTGCAATGAGCCAAGATCGCACCACTGCACTCCAGCCTGGGCAACAGTGAGACTCGGTCTCAAAAAAAAAAAAAAAGAGGTGGCCAAGCGCAGTGGCTCATGCCTATAATCCCAGCACTTTGGGAGGCCAAGGCAGGTGGATCACCTGAGGTCAGGAGTTCGAGACCAGCCTGGCCAACAAGGTGAAACCCTGTCTGTACTAAAAATACAAAAAAAATTAGCCAGGTGTGGTGGCAAGCACCTGTAATCCCAGCTACCCGGGTGGCCGAGGCAGGAGAATCGCTTGAACCCGGAAGGAGGCGGAGATTGCAGTGAGCCAAGATTGAGCCATTGCACTCCAGTCCAGCCTGGGCAACAAGGGTGAAACTCCATCTCAAAAAAAACAAAAAACAAAAAAAAAAACAGAGGTAGCCAGGAGTGGTGACTCACACCCGTAATCCCAGCACTTTGGGAGGCTAAGGCAAGAGGATTACTTGAGCCCAGGAGTTTGAGACCAGCATGAACAACATAGTGAGACCCTGTCTCTATTTAAAAAAAAAAAAAGAGGTGAGACCTTCACAGAATAAGTAAGTTAACTAGTCAAGAGATAAATAACAACCAAAAAAAAAAAAGCTATCTCAAGAGGGTATGTGTTTATGAACCAAAAGCCAGCTTGGATAAAAGTAGGGACAAATTCCTGCCTCTGTATCAGATGGTCTGCCGCTGATGGCACCTCTGAGTACCCACCAGCACCACTGGGAAAGCGGGAGTTGCTGTGCTCAGTCCCTTCCTTGGAGGCTGCCTTCCCTACCTTGTGAGTATCCCAGTTCTGGAGCTTTGTGGTTATTGGCCTCCCAACAGAGGCTCCCTTCTTCCCTCACCTTCAGGTGGCTGCCGAGTAATGGAGCAGAAGGAGGTTCCCAATGGGCTCAGGGATGAAGCTTGTGGCAAGGAAACTCCAGCTGGCTATGCTGGCCTGTGCCAGTGAGTGTCAGCAGGACATGGGCATGGTGTTGGGCAGTGGGTAGAAGTGGTGAGGGCATGCCCAGGCAGTAAAGTGGGTCCCTGGGAGCAGTAGGTCTCGCAGTAGGTAGAAGGGAGGAAGCTTTCTGGGCAAGGGCATGGATAGATAGTAGCAGGCAGTGTGGGCACAGGCAGGGGTTGTTAATCTTGTTCGTCCAAGTGTCTCAGAGCCCAGCTATGTTAGACACACTCAGTTAATATTAGTCAACAGAACAAATATTCTGCTCCCTTTTCTCCCCAGGGCACACTACAAAGAGTATCTTGTGAGCCTCATCAATGCCCACTCTCTGGACCCAGCCACCCTGTATGAGGTGGAAGAACTGGAGACGGCCACTGAGCGCTACCTACACGTACGCCCCCAGCCTTTGGCTGGAGAGGATCCCCCTGCCTACCAGGCCCGCTTGTTACAGGTATAGCCTCCACCCAGCCTCACCTCTGACCCCACCCTACAGAAGTCACCTGGTGCAGGCTGTGTCTGAGCTCCAGGCTCCTAATATCATTACCTTCTCTCTCCTGCAGAAGCTGACAGAAGAGGTACCCTTGGGACAGAGTATCCCCCGCAGGAGGAAGTAGCTGAGAGTAAGGGTCCCGATGAGGGTCCCATGGCCTACTCCCTCAGGAACAGCTCCAGCACCAATAAAGAGGCGTCTTACCACCCAGGCTTCTTGGTGGTCCTTCTTCCTGGTGCCACCATCTAGGGGCACCAGGGAAAGAGTAGGGTGAACAGAGCTTTGCTGAAAAGGGCCCCCTGCAACCTAGTGCCTGACCCTCCCTGGACTCAGGACCAGGAAGGAGCTGACACCCTGGATGGTCAAGGGAGGCCCTCCCCATCCAGCCACCTGGCCTGGGCTCCCTCCCTCCCTGCCTCCTTTCTTCCTTTCATCGAATTCGACTGGTATTTGAAGTCACCCAGTATGTATCAGGTGGGCACTGTAGGGGAACACAGATGCACAGGTGTACACAGCAATCCAGAGGTCCCAAGCCTGACTCCAGGAAACTGGCCTCCCTGGGGAAGCCGCAGTGTCACCCAGAGAAGGTCAGATACAAGCAAGAGTATCTGAGGGAGGAAGGGGAATGAGCCAGGATGGAGCTGAGCCGGTAGAGCAGGGCCCCCCTGCTGCGACAGTGGCATCCTGATAGTGAGCTGCTTAGATGCTGCTGCCCCCTGGTGGCCACCAGTTCCCTGCAACTCTGAGACCACGTGATTTCTGGGAAAAGGCCCTCCCTGGAGGAGAACCGAAACTTAGGGTGGGGACTGTAGAAAGGGGTGGAGAGATCAGCCGCCCAGCCAGGAGTTAAGCTGAGGTCGTCTGAGCCCTGCAACAGCCTGGACAGCAACTCAGGCAACTCAGGTAAGATCAGCCAAGAATGGGAGTCAGCCTGGGATCTAGGGCTAGAAAGTCCAGCCAGATTGGGAGTAGGGGGTTCTAGGGGTCCCTATGTTAGACTGCGGGATAGACAGAAGACCTCTAAGTCAGGAAGTGGGAGATTCAGCCTGAGAATGAGACTGACAAAGGCCAGCACCTCAGACTCTTGTAGGCAAAGGTCAGAAGGACCTACTGCTGGATTGTTCAGGGAAGAAGGCTCATTGCCCCAGCCTCAGTGGACCATTTGTTTCCTTGCCGTCTGGCCCTGCCCACTTGTGCTGCAGCTCCACCCCCACCCCTGCTTCCTGCCCCACCTACTCCTGGGGATGGCAGAGGGGTGGGGGTCAGAGGCTAGGTTGTGTAGGCTGTGGGGCAGTGGGTGAAGGGCCTGATGCATCTCAGCAGAGCCTGCCTCTGCTGATGCTCGGGAATCTAGACAGGGCCTCTCACCAGGAATGATCACCAAAGGAATTACTTCCTAAACAATACATTTCTGAAAAGTCCTAAAATTAAGACCAATGCCCAAGGTTTCCTTCCAGGTATCACAGCTTAGAATGCTAAAAACAATGTTTGGGTTTTTGTTTTGTTTTTATTTTTTGTCATTGCTAGTGATGGCAGAAAGGAAACAATTCTGTCTCATAGAGTGTTGAAATGTGTCTACAGCTAAAAGAAAATGGATGGGATCTCTGGGACCTGTTGCCAGAATCTAGTCTCAATGGCCAGGGTCTCAGGAAATGTTCCCTCCCAAAGTGTCAGTTCTGACGCTTCCTGCTCCTCTTATCCCCCAGGATGGCATCAGGCAGGGCACGCTGTACCCGAAAACTCCGGAACTGGGTGGTGGAGCAAGTGGAGAGCGGGCAGTTCCCTGGAGTGTGCTGGGATGATACAGCTAAGACCATGTTCCGGATTCCCTGGAAGCATGCAGGCAAGCAGGACTTCCGAGAGGACCAGGATGCTGCCTTCTTCAAGGTGAAAGGGCTTGGAAACCACTGTTCCTCTGCGTGAGGGATGGTGTATACACTGGTACACTCACTCTCGAGCACTTGCGTCTACCTGGGTTTCAGACAAGGGAGAGATTGGAGAGGAAAACTAGCTGCATCATTTGCAGAGTCCAGTACAAAACGAAAATGTGGAGGCCTTGTTCAAAAATTCTGGGGATTTTGGCCAGGCGCAGTGGCTCACGCCTGTAATCCCAGCACTTTGGGAGGCCGAGGTGGGTGGATCACGAGGTCAAGAGATCAAGACCATCCTGGCCAACATGGTGAAACCCCGTCTCTACTAAAAATACAAAAATTAGCTGGGCCTGGCGGCGCATGCCTGTAGTCCCAGCTACTCAGGAGGCTGAGGCAGGAGAATTGCTTGAACAAGGGAGGCAGAGGCTGTAGTGAGCCGAGATCGTACCACTGCACTCCAGCCTGGCAACAGAGTGAGACTCTGTCTCAAAAAAAAAAAAAAAAATTCTGGGGATTTCAAGATGGCAACACAGAGCACAGACCCTGCATGATCCCTTCTGAGCTTAGAGCTGTACGCCCATAAAGCCAGTCCTGTTGGAGGGGCAGCTGGAGCCTGTAACACACTGCCTCTTTTTCCCTTGCTTTCTTTCCTAGGCCTGGGCAATATTTAAGGGAAAGTATAAGGAAGGGGACACAGGAGGCCCCGCTGTCTGGAAGACTCGCCTGCGCTGTGCACTCAACAAGAGTCCTGAATTTGAGGAGGTTCCGAAGAGGGGCCGCATGGATGTTGCTGAGCCCTACAAGGTGTATCGGCTGCTGCCACCAGGAGCCTTCTCTGGTGGGTTTCCCCTTGCCCAACCACTCCTAGATTCAGCAGACTGGGGAGGAAGGATAGATGTGCGGGCTTCCCCCAGGCTTCTCATAGCTCTGCCTTGTCCGTGCCCTTGGGGGCTGCTACCCAGGTTTCCCTTCCTAGGCTTGCGCATTCTTCACTGCCTCAGACCTCTCCCTTACCCTCTGTCCCTGCTCAAGACCCTGACCTTTCTGTCTCCCTCAACAATTCCACAGGCCAGCCAGGGACTCAGAAATCACCATCAAAGCGACAGCACAGTTCTGTGTCCTCTGAGAGGAAGAAGGAAGAGGGTGCCATGCAGAACTGCACACTCAGTCCCTCTGTGCTCCAGGAATCCCTCAATAATGTAAGAGATGGAAAGGGAACTGGGCGGGCCTGAGGGCAGGACAGTAACTAGAGGGAGAGGTGGGCCAATGAAAGACACTGTGTCTTGGGAGGCTGAGGCGGGCAGATCACCTGAGGTCAGGAGTTCGAAACCAGCCTTGACCAACATGGTGAAACCCCGTCTCTACTAAAAATACAAAAATTAGCTGGGTGTTGTGGCATCTGCCTGTAATCCCAGCTACTCAGGAGGCCGAGGCAGGAGAATCGCTTGAACCCAGGAGGCGGAGGTTGCCGTGAGCCGAGATTGCCCCATTGCACTCCAGCCTGGGCAACAAGAGCAAAACTCTGTCTCAAAAAAAGAAAAGAAAAAAAAAAAGACACTGTGTCTGCAGGGGGAGGAGGAGGCCAGTGGGGGAGCACTCCATTCAGACATCGGGAGCAGCAGCAGCAGCAGCCCTGAGCCACAGGAAGGTACCACCTGCCCTGCCTCTTGTGTTGTCCCCCATGCCACACCCTCTGGCCCAAGACTCCCCAGTCCCACTCTGAATGACCAGTGCCTTTGCTTCCCTTCCAGGTACAGACACAACTGAGGCCCCCTTTCAAGGGGATCAGAGGTCCCTGGAGTTTCTGCTTCCTCCAGAGCCAGGTACATGGCATTTCTGACTTTCTCCTGTGCCCTGTGCCCCGAGGTCTTCCACCTTTGACTGTGCATGCATTATCTAGTCAGTCAGGGCTTATAGCAAACTGTGCCCACATTACCATAGCCCAAGGCACTGGTTTCTAGGTGGCGAGAATTCCACATGCCTGGCCAGACTCCAAAAAGCTTGCTTCCCAAAAATATCACCCTATACACTCTCCTGGAAATCTACATTGAGACGTTGATTTCATTGGGCCAAACAGAGGCCCAATCTCAAGGGACCTTCTAGTAAACTACAAGCCCCTGGTCATTAAACCCTGAGGCCTCATGGTCAATCACATACTAGCTACTTGCCTGAGTGACAGGAAAACCTGAGAA